GGCTCTCCAAGGTGTGAAGTCGATACAATTGCCCTTTAGTTAAGGCTCATCGATCAAGCAAGTCGATATGGGACCTTGATATTGCCCTGCCATGTGTATCGGTCTTGGGACGTCGATACACTGCTCGATATGGACTCCATCCTGCTGCATCGAGGTGTCTAAGTCGATATGCTTCCTTCACACTTTGCCTCTTCTGTATCGATGTCATGGTGGTCGATATGCCCATCGATATGCTCCGTATCGATCACATGGTGTCGATATCATCATCGATATTGGTTCATCCGCCTTTGTCTCTTGCCTTGCTCCATTTCCAGCTCACACCCATTGCTCCACATGATCTCCACACTCCTTCAAGTACCTAAATAAAATTCCAAATGCATGCAAAATGCAATGCAGCTCCTAAAACTACACTAACTCCTAAATGTATGCAAATGGGACAAGAAGAAGCAAAATATGCATGTTTAGAGACTAAAACTAGTGATGAATACAAGATAAAATGGTACAAATAATGGAGATATCACCCATATCTAAGAATAGGAGACATGATCAATTGGGATGGAGCTTTACAAAAAACGGACGTTATACAGTTAAATCTGGGTATTTGACGGAACAAAACATGGTTTTTAAGGGGACAATATCACAAACATATGGACCAGACGTGAGTACACTACAAGCACATGCATGGAAAGTCAAATGTCAGCTGAAGATGAAACACTTCCTATGGCAAGTGATATCGGGGTGTCTGGCGGTTACTGATCGGCTGCGCAGTAGGGGCATTAGATGCGATCCCCAATGTACTCGATGTGGAGCAGCACGTGAGACGATTAATCATGTACTTTTTGAGTGTCCACCGGCCTTCCAAGTATGGGCACTATCGGTTATCCCCACTCCAACGGCTGGGTTTCCGTCGGATGCGCTTTTTCCTAATATGGCAAAACTATTCTGGCACTTACCAAATCACGAAGAAATGAAAGTTAATCCATGGCTATCATGGCACATCTAGAAAATGAGAAACGATAAAATTTTCTCAAATCTTGATAGAGACCCACGAGATGTGATTCGTGTGGCAACAACAGAGGCACATGCATGGGATGAGGCACAAGTGGAAGAACCACCAATGGGTCCAAGTGTGTTGGTAGAAATGGTAGATTACTCAGGGGCAATAACATGTCATATAGATGGGTCATGGAAACAATCCAATTCCAAATCAGGTTTGGGATGGTTTAGCCAAGGAATTGCTGTAGGGGGTACCTTAATGGGAGCCAGCAGTGTCCGGTGCAGTCTTTCGGCATTACATTCAGAATTAGAAGCTTTGATCTGGACAATGCACTGTATGCTCGATTCACGAAGATTGGAGATGACTTTCCTCACAGACTGCCTCGACCTGGTGAGAATGGTGGCTAACCCAATGGAGTGGCCAGCTTTTTCATTACACTTGGAGGAAGTTGAGACCAGCAAGAAGGATTTTGTTTCTTTCGCATTGAAGTACATTCCATACGCGCAGAACACGAAGGCTGATAAGCTAGCACGGAGCGCTTGCACAAGCCTTCATCATCTACACTACGTAAGTTCAATTCCACCGACTTGGCTCACTGAGTCATTCTAGGAAACATGAGGCTGTTGACAAAAAAAAAAAAGATTGACATCTCAATATGAGTAGTTATAATTAATTGAAGAAACAAAAATCCTACTATCAAAAATCCTTTTTCATCGTCGAGCCTACTCCATCGTCATTTCAACTCTCTGTTGTTGATCTCCTGCTCTTTTATCTACTAGAGATGTTTTCGTGCTACGTACATATTATTTTTATAAATATTTGATTATTATTTAAATTAAATTAATTTTTAATTTTAATTTGATATACAGTAGTTTTAATGTGTATGTTTGTACATTTTGAATATTTTAACATATCTGAAAAATGTATTGTGATTTAACTAAATAGTTTTACTAATTAGATATGTGAAAAATAACTTTTAAACTAAAAATTAAAATGCGTGAGAAACTTATTGTTGTTCACTAATTTTAAAAATATTATTAATTTTTTTTTAACTGAAATTGGTATATAATTTTTATTTGAAATAGCTATTTATTCACAATTAGAATTTTTTAAACTGCATTTTTATTATTATATAATGTGTAATTTCCCCAAAGGGAGGGAGTATTCTATGCAATGACGACATAGTACACTCATAGATGTCTTTAGCCAATTTTGTTTTTCTCTTTCATTTTGACAATAGCAAGTTATTCTCCTGATTTTTCAGGAAGAGGAAGAAGCAACAGAAGTTTCACTGCTCGGGGAGTCCACAGTTTCGAGCTGGATTGAAAACCAAATAAGTAGCCATTATGGAAGTAAGTGGATGTTGGATCTAAGCGTTCAAGTCTGGGCTTCGGGATATATTTGATATTGGGCCTATAACTTGTTGAAGCCTAACAGTGTTCGGATCCAGAAGAGAAGCAATGTTGGGAAGCTTCTTGTTGAGCTTAATGGCTCTATTTCAGCTGTTGACAGAAGTTGCATGTGTTGACGGCTAACGAACTGGATAAGACCGTTAAGTGTCGTCAATCACATGAGAGAGAAGTATCTCGAAGTTGCTTTTTTCTTAAGTAAATGCTATTTCCTTATCGATTTATTAATTTTTGAGAAATTGCACTCTATGGCCTCACATAACTTCACAATTAGATAGGAGCAAAAGTTCATTTCTCTATCCTCCTGGTTAAATAAAAATATATTTATTATCTTTTTTCTTTCTTTCTAATTAACACAAACAAATTGAATTTTATATCTATCTAATCTTTAGCTTCAATCGAAGAAGAAAAAGACGAATCACACTTTTTGAGAAGTTTAATTTTTTTTTTCAATTCTCCTTGCGGTTTTTCAGTAAGGCTCACCGAGATTATGACGGCTCGTCCTTTTTTTATGGAGATGGTGGTTGTTGGTGGTGGTGGTGTTGTGGATGGTGGCAATGGTGATGGTTATCAGTGGTAGTAGTTTTTTTATCGATGGTGGTGGTGGTCGGTGGTGATGATGGAGTTGCCGGTGGTGGTGCTGGTGGTGGTGGTTGTGGTGGTCGGTGATGGGGATGGTGTTGGTGATGGTCGGTGGTGGCGGTGATGGAGTCGCTGGTGGCGGCGGTGGTGGTGGTGGTGGCAGTGTCGGTGGTAGTGATAGTGGTGGTAGTGATTGGTGGTGGTGGTGATGGTAGTGATGGGTGGAAGATAATGATATCAATGTTAACACGATAGTTATTATGTTCATAATGTAAGTATGTTAATTTTTTGATATGATAACATTGTTAACATATGATAATTTGTATAATTTATACAGTTAACAAAGTTAACTCCCATTTTTAATGAAATGATAGCATTGTTAGCATGATAGTTATCACTGTCACAAAGTTAGTATGATAACGTTTTTGATATGATAATATGGTTAACATGATAATTTTATTTTGTTATTATACGATGACTAGTTAACTCAATATTTATTCAATATGCTAATCGAGCATCATATTAGTTAACATAGTTAACAAATTTAGCACAATTAGAGATGTGAGATGGGTCGCCCGCAACCGCACGGCCATGGCGAGTTCTAATTTTTTCTTATCCATGCGGATTGGTCCGCCGCGAATTGCAGACAACTAAACATAAGCCTAAGCCCGCCCCACTCTTATTTAATGGGCTTGCGGGCTGGCCCGCTGACATGTTTTTCTTGTTTAATTTTTGTTTTGGTTTGGCTGATTTCCAGATTTGAAATTGGTTTTTTTGAAATCTGATGTTCTATTTTGGTTAAAACCTGCAAATTCAATCTTAAATCTTGCAAATTCAATCTGCAAATTCAATTTTAAATCTTACAATTTCAATCTTACAACTTGCAAATTCAAGTTTAAAACCTGTAAATTCAATTTTAAAATCTGAAAATTCAATCTGAAAACCTGAAAAAGAATTCAATTGAAAACCGTATCAAATAAGTTTAAGAACAAAATAGTTATAATTTACATATATAATATATATGAACTTAATTTTTGATTATTAGCTCTACTTTTCTAATTATCAAATTATTTTGGGCTATCTACTAAATTTATTTTTAATCTTTTAGGTTAATTTCTTAAATAAAGGGATAAAATAGTTTTTTTCACCACATACAAATTCTATAATTGATTCATGATGTATTTATGCTATAATTGACCCAAAAACTTAGATTAATATTGTTATGATTTTCTTTAAATTAATTAAATTGTTAATTATATATTTAATAAAAACGTTGAGTTTACATAGATGTAGGTAAATAGTGGCGGCTGTAACCGTTAAAAATTGCAAGAAAAAGATATATTTTGTAATTTTCTATTTGTCGCCACCTTTGATCTTTTCAAAACTCCGGTGACTCAGCTGTCTATCTATATCTAAAAATATTGAAAATTAAAAGTACCTTCGATGACCGATTGACTAGGATTACAAAGACACACTGTTGAAGTATTTTAAGCAAATATATTAGAACTAGGATTATATTAACATCTCTTGGTGGGTTACTAGCAGAATGCTCCAGACGTGTGTTCATGATCAGCGATCTGAACCAATTAGTATTCTTTTGTACGTCTATATATACTTAAAAAATCAAATTCATAAAAAGGGTATTCAAGTGATATGGAAACACCACAAGAACCCCGAAAAACATGGTAAATTTATTTATTTTAAACAATAAATATTGCAGTTAGGTTATAAAAGGGTTGACATGGTCTTAAGGAGGAAGAAGAAAAGAGGTTCACGAAAGTCTACAAAGCAAGAAATTGATAAAGAACCAATCAGATTAGAGAGTTGGAGTTCAAATCAAACGCACGAGTCTACAAGTTAATTTGACGAGTGAATATACCAGGAATGAAGACATAGTCGCACTTTGAAATAGCAGCCCTGGTTTCTTATAAATAGATATACCCTATGAACCTAATATCTCACAATTAATAATCTCTCCTAATATATCTCATTCAAAGTTTTATCTTCTCAAGTATCCCATACGTTGCTTTTGTAATATCAAAATGGATAGTCCCAAATCACCTCTTCAACCACCGACCTATGGAAACTTGGTTACAATCCTCAGCATTGATGGTGGTGGCATTAGAGGGATAATCCCTGCCATTATCCTAGCTTTTCTAGAGTCCGAACTTCAGGTATATATGTACTACCTAACTATATATTATAACTATAGCAGTTATTTCTCTTTTCTTAGTTTTAGTTATGAGCTTACGAGTCCATACTTATTGCAAATATCGCTTTTCCAATGTTGAATTCCTAACATGTTTAAATTCTATACAGAAATTGGACGGAGAGGAAGCAAGGCTCGCAGACTACTTTGATGTGATAGCAGGAACAAGCACCGGTGGTCTGGTCACAGCCATGCTCACTGCTCCTAACAAGGAAGGCCGACCCTTATTTGCAGCCACTGAGATTAAAGAATTCTATCTCGAAAACTGTCCAAAAATCTTTCCACAAGATCATTTCCCATTCTCGGCCGCTAAAAACTTGGTGAAGTCCTTGACTGGTCCTAAATATGACGGTGAATACCTTCATCAACTTATCCATGCTAAATTGGGTGATACAAGGTTGCATCAAACACTTACCAACGTTGTCATTCCAACGTTCGATATCAAGCATCTTCAACCTACTATATTTAGTAGTTTCGAGGTTTGATTATCTTATCTGTGTGTAGGGTATACGATATATCTAATTTACTAATCTTTGATATATAACATAGATGATTATCTCATAGGTAAAAAACAATCCTCTCAAGAACGCAACCCTGGCTGACATTACCATCTCAACTTCAGCAGCCCCTACATACTTGCCTGCCCATTTCTTCAAAACTCAAGATTCAGACGGAAACGTCAAAGTATACAATCTTATTGATGGCGGAGTTGCAGCTAACAACCCGGTAAATTATCAGAAATAAAATTATTGTCATAGTGACTTAAAAGCAATAACAATTAATAATTAGTGGGATTTGCCTATAATTTTAATCAAGCTTGTCATGGCCTAGATTGTGAATTTGTGTCGTCGTCAGGTTTCTATATGATAAATTTCAACACTTTGGGACTATATGTTAGCAATAGTTTTAAATTAACGGAATGACTTCTGATGTTAATATAGCATGTCATGGCCTAGATTTTTATATTTGCGTTTGTGTTTTCATATTAACATGAAAACAAACTGAAAAACGTTCGAACCTATATTTTGATTGGAATATTGCTAATAATATCCATCAGGCAATGTCTATAGAAGTCTTGAATAATAAATATATCATATATTGGTTATATCAAGTATAGGCTTTGGTGGCCATTGGGGAGGTTACAAATGAGATAACAAGAGGGAGCAGTGACTTTTTCCCGATAAGACCAAATGATTACGGAAGGTTTCTTGTGCTTTCCCTTGGAACCGGAAATCGTAAAGCCGAAGAGAAATTCAATGCAAAGGAAGTAGCTGGTTGGGGAATGTTGAGTTGGTTAACACACGATAATTCTACACCTCTCATTGATGCTTTCACGCAAGCTAGCTCCGATATGGTTGATTTTCATCTCTCTGCCGTTTTTCGAGCTCTGCATTCCGAAGCCAACTATATTAGAATCCAGGTACCAAAATCAGGTCATTAAACTTTTTCTTTTCTTTGTAGCCATAATTCTTATAAATGGGTTTCATATTCAAATATGCAGGATGACACATTAAATGGGGATGCTGCTTCCGTTGATATCTCTACTGTCGAGAATCTCGACATTCTTTCCAAGACAGGAGATGCACTACTCAAGAAACCTGTTTCAAGAGTCAATCTTGAATCAGGTTGTAACGAAAATGCTTATGAAGTGACCAATGAAAATGCCCTCATCAAGTATGAGACATAAATTTTGCATTTGATAGCTTTATCCATTCATATTTTCATGATTGAAAATATTTTGTTAATATATTTAAAATTTTTGGCTTTGAAGGCTAGCAGGAATACTTTCAAAAGAAAAGAAGATCCGAGACTTGCGATCTCCTCATGGAAAAGCGCTAAATAGGGAATAAAGATATCATTAATTTATCTTTTCTATTGTTTTTGTTAATTTATCATATATGTTGTTGATGATTTGTTTGTTTCATAATCTATTTTGGTTTTATAATAATAACTAGTTGTTTCTCTCATTGTGTTACTTGTATAATTTTGAATAAAGTCAATGAGAAAAGCTAAATTGTTTGTCCTTCTTACGTAGATTAGAATAGTCTATTAGTAATAAAAATTCATGTTTTAGGCTTTAAGAGTGTGAACATATAATTTTAAAAACTCAATTCAATTGGTATACGTGTTTTCAGTTGCATATTACGGAATGTTAATAGAGGTGTGTTTGTTCGTCTAAACTCCATTTTACATGTTCGTCTACGGTAAGATGAATAGCGTTCATCTAATCTGATGAGCCTATCGCTTGAGACCTAAAATCAATTTAACAAATGATAAGCCAGCCTCGAGGAGGATAAGAAAATGGTTTCCCTTTCGAAGTTCTTTGACACCCAAGTCACAAAGACCCTACCGAAAACAAATACTCGTAATGATAGGTTTTAGGTGGGTTTTTTAGTTGAATACTATGTCTAGAGATCTTAGTACTCGTTGGTTATTCGGCGCGACCGGGGTGGTCATATGCTATCGTGAGAGTGGGCTTGTAATTCTCTCAAGATTGTAAGAACATAGAAGGAAGACAATCATACTTCCCATGCTGCGTTCTCCAGATAGATCAATGGGACAGTGTCCGGGAACAGCTGCAGTTAGATGAAGATGTCAGGTAAGAGCTCTTAAACATCCCGACCAAGGGAATTAAGACCCGATGAGATCCTTGAGGGCTCATCGACCGGTCCTCCTCTATTATTGGTATTGTTTATTTTTCTCGCCTTGACCATTTATTTTTATGAGTTGCAAGGCTTCATTTATACTATTTCTGACTTGTTTCCTACTGGCTCTGCATGCTCTACTGAGTAGGTTTGTACCCTAAGTAGTTGATCACCTGCCCCAGCGCCGAATTTATGCGATGGCTTGGAGTATCTGTAACATCTAGCACGCTGCCTATCTGGACAGATTCGATAGGGTCCCCTTTGAATGGGTCCCTTTGTTGACATGGAGGATTTGTATTGGTTTTCGGGAAATCGTTCTCAACAATTATCCATGACTGTCTATGTCCTTTTCAAGGAGGTGGGGAGTCAATCCTTATTCGCTCCTGTTCCTGTAAAATATATGCAAACTTTTGATACTCGAAGGTTTTGGCCTAGATCTATATAGAATAGGAAAAGCAAATTAAGCTTAAGAGAAAAAGTACAGAAAAGTAATCAATTGAAATGTGCAGTATTAAAGTGCCTAAAAGTAAAGGCAGTGCAGGAAATAAATTAGAGAAACGAATGAGAAAAAGTCGTTGGGATCCTTCCTGGAATTCTTAGGGGTTCCAACAATAGTTTAAAAATATAGACAAAAGCAAATGAGATTATATGTAATTTCCAAAAACTTGAATCACTTGTTTCATAATTTAAATACTTCAATAAAAATAAATTGTATATGTGCTGGGGGACTTCATGCAGTAATCCAGTTAGGCATGCAACACATGTAATATATGTCAGGTTCGTTATAACTTTCACGAGGCCCCATAAGTGAGCAATAAGCACCTTACGACACATTCACTCGTTTAAGCTAGTTCTAGCTGTTGGATTCAGTATTTTTGGTGGCTCGAGCAATTCTAAGATCAGATTCTAGTTCATGACACTAGAATTATGCTTTAAGATAACTCAAACGAAATTAGAATACGGTTATATGAAAAGACAATTAAAAACAGTTAATGAAATTTCCCTAAAAACCCATTAGAAACCGTCCCAACGAAATAGGACTACTCAAACATAGTAAAGAGAAACGAAATCAGATATGAAAAGGATTGTATGAAATTTTTTTTTTGTATCGAAATAAAGAGAGTTCAATAGTAGATCTATCTCCCTTTAAGAACAAAGAACAAAAGTAATAAAACCAAAATATTGGTGGCTAAATGTTCGATAGTGCACCTCTCCGCTGCCATATTCTCACATGTCTCCACCCTCTAACTTTTCTTGCTCACGAAAACAAAACCCTAGAACTAAGTATTTATAGGTCTTAAAGTCTTCTAGGAGTTTCAATCTCAAATGCTCCTCAATCTAAAACACAAATCTGAAAAATACACAGTCTAATTTTATTTCATTTTGAATTAATTTTAATTTAAAAATCATTTAAATTACATAAAACCCCACTCAACTAACATTATTTACATTTCTACCTGGATTCCACCCGCCCACCTAACTAAAATCGGATCTAACCCTAACCCGAAATTAAAACCCCTAACCTGAACCCGAAAGAGACTCAATCCAAACTGTCGAACTCTTCCTCGCCCCTGAAATTGTTGCAATCAACCTCGAATTCCTTCATAAAACTCTAACTCCTCATTCCTAATTCACTCAATTTCAAATCTCCTCTCAATTTCAAACCGCTTACTTCGATTCAAACTCGATCCTCTCTTTTAATTGATTCAATGGCGAATACAAAATGGACAAGAAAGAAGAAGAAGAAGATTGCTCAAGACAGAGTGGATCCGCCGATTGATGAGAATAAAGAGCTTGAAGAAGAAAGGGAAGGATCTACGGTTCCGATTGGCGAAGATGAAGGAAAAAAATTGACCACGAGAATGAAGAAGATGACAACGAGAATGAAGAAGAAGGAGAGGTGGACGAGAATGAGAAGGAGAATGAAGAAGAAGGAGAGAAAGGAGAGGAAGATGACAATGAAGAAGAAGAAGGAGAAGGAGAGGAAGACTGCAATGTAGTAGACAAAAAAAAAACTCAGACGAGGAAGATGTAAGTACTTCGATTCCATTGGATTCGTAGTTAGGTAGAACTAGGGAAAACTAAATTATTTTTGCTAGGTAGAACTAGGAAAAACTAGTATAACTAGATAAAAGCTAGTCGTTGTTACATGTACTACTAGTATAACTAGATAATACTAGGATTTGTGGTTGTTTAAGTAATACTAGTATAACTAGATAAAACTAGTCGGTTGTTAGATTTAATACTATTATAACTAGATAATACTAGGATTTGTGGTTTCTTAAGTAATACTAGTATAACTAGATAATACTAGGATTTGTGGTTGTTTAAGTAATACTAGTATAACTAGATAAAACTAGTCGGTTGTTAGATGTAATACTAGTATAACTAGATAATACTAAGATTTGTGGCTGTTTAAGTAATACTAGTAAAACTAGATAATACTAGTTGGCTTTTATTTGTAATATCAGTATAACTAGATAATACTAGTCGGATTTTATTTGTAATACTAGAATAACTTGGTACAACTAATCGGATTTTATTTCTAATACTGGAATAACTTGGTACAACTGAATGTTTTCGTAGGCTTCTGAGGAAGAAATGATAGCTCTACAACCTATGAAAATGTACTTCCCACCGACAGAGTATAATAAGAAAATTAAGATATCGACGAGGTGTTACATCTACAAAGCTCTGGCAGTGCTAGACAATTTGAAGCCTCCGCTCACACTTGTAGAGAGGACATGGTTTCAAACATCCGTAATTCGAACACATTTTCCACTTGCCAAGGGACAAATATCACAGGTTATGGGCATGTGGATGCTACTTCTTCGAACAGCATGCATCGAGAAAGAAAGGAAGCTTGGTTTGTCGTCAATGGCGTTCCTATCCGTTATGGGCTGAGGGAACACGCCTTGATATCCGGATTAGACTGCTGCAACTATCCAGTCAATTATATGCGAGGGGGCAGTATGAACTTTGTGAGGAGGCATTTTAAGCGATCAACAATCAGAAATCAAGACGTGAAGGAAAAGCTAGAGGAGATGGATTCTGGTCGAGATAGGTTGAAGATGGCAGGCCTCTACTTCTTATCCAGCATTATTATTGGGCTGACAAAGACTGGAGCAGATGCTACGCCCATGTTGGAATTATTTCAAAGAGCGGTGAATGATCTTGAGTTGTGTAAGAGATTTCCTTGGGGCAGATTGTCCTTTGATCACATGTTAAGTGAGATCTCGCTCACGATGACTCATTTTGGAGGAAGCGTCAAAGAGGGTGTATTATGGCCGATTCCAGTTTTTTTGTATTCCTATGGAGGTAAGTTACTAATTTTTATAATTGAGGGATTAGTAATTGTTACTACTTGTTATAATTGAAGCATTCTCTAACTCCTCTAACTATATACGTTTTGTGTAGCTTTTAACATTTGAGGCGATTCCAAATTCACGGGAATAGATTCTGAGAAGCTATTCCAGGCGCAGACATGAGTTGTCCTAAGATGTGCAAAACAAGGTTCAAGAATAGCGAAATGAAAGGGTTTTCTCTTGAGAGTATAAATGGACACCTTGGTTGAATTAAGGTTAGTTATTCTTCTTGTTATCCTTTGCATTATAATTATTTTGGATTGCTATGTTTTTGATCTTTATATTCATTTTTTTACAGGATATTGATAGTATCATGATTGCTACAGATGAAAAAAATTCTCTTCTGGCTGAAATCTTCAAAAAAGACGACGATGATGATAAGCATGATTTTGTTGTTGAGAGCTGGATGAGTTGTTTTAATAAAGGATATGCCATACGCTTTGAGGAGATGTACAAGGAAGATGTGGCTTCCAGATTGCGAGAGGAACCTGAGAATCTAGTGACTGAGGTCACTGCCGCCAATGAAACACCGGTAAACACGTCTTTAAATGATTTGGTAGAGATCGTAAATGCCATGAAAAATTATTTAGGAGATCGGATGGATCAAATTGAAAAGAAGGTTGATGGGTTGGCGGAAAGACTCGCACCTTTGGATGGTTTTGTGCAGGAGCAATCAGGAGAGACGTCTAAAAAAAGTGGTAAACGGAGAAGATCGAGTGGGCCAAAGGCAAGGTCAAAGAAGCAGAAAGTATAAAACTCTTTTTCTTATGGTTTTGAACTCGTAGTACTCGTATTACTACGTAGAACTTTGTTGTTCGTTTTGAATTTGAACTCATACTC